GTGTGTGCGTGTGTGCTGGTTGGTGTGTTAATGGGCCTGGTCAACAGCGTGGTACAATGGGCGGGCTGGCTTGGGATGCCTGTTTAAGTGGTAGGACAGGGAAAGGGAGATAGGGGTAAGGCGGGTCAGTTCAAGCCTTTGATGTTGCTGGGAGAGAGGGTAGAACAGCTTGTAGATCACACACACACACACACACACACACACACACACACACACACACAAATGCACAGATCTTAGAAAATGAGTTAATGGCTGGGGTTGCAGGTGATTGTATTATGTTGAGGCCACTGCACTGAAGGATGCTTGTGTGTCGTTGAGGTTTTCAGTCTTGTCCTTGGTTTATCAGACTTAAACCATCCTGTCTGGACCTCATCTCGTTTGCGTATGTGTGTGTGCATGCGTGTGTGTGTGTGCATGCGTGTGTGTGTGTCACCCCAGGAGAGCCGGGTGTTCATGGTTCATTAGCCACACGTACACTTCCGTTCTGTTCTCACTGGTAGAAGGGACAGATTCAATGCATTCACACACACATACGGGCTCCCCCCTCACACCGCAAACACCCACACACCACACACTGTTTTGTTTTGTTGTGCCGGCTCTGATGAACAGGCACGCAGCCTCCTCCCCTCTCCTTCTCATCTTCTAGTAATCAGGGTACCTATGAGACAGACAGGTAGCATCTGTCGCCTCCTCTCCCCTGATCCATCCCTCCCTCTGTTTCTCCATCTCCCTCTCTTCCATGCCATTGTGTTGAATTTCCCTTGGCGACCGAGTGATGAGATAATGTACGACTTGTCCCACAGAATCGAAATCAGTGGAATCTTCAGGAATTGCTCAAAAACAGGGAACATTTTCAGAGATTTCTAGACTAGGGCACCTCCGACATGCCTGTTTTTCGTCCCATGTCGTCCCCACCCTTGTGAAACGGTGTGACACCCATTTTTCCACTCAGGATTGTCGGGCTTAGAAGTGTAAGATGGCTGTAAGGAATGCTTTGCCATTAGATCAGTTAAAATCGAACAGTTGCAGTCAACATGGCGGAGGCCTCTCTTGAGTCCGTTCAGCTGCTCGGTGAAGCCGCTGCCATCTGCTTTTTCAGCTCCAGACTCCTTCAGATCTGCTGGGCCACGATGGAACGAGGGCTCTGATGGTTGGGTTTTGAACAGGGCCTCAAGGTTGATTAGCATATTTTCACCCTGTGTACAGACAACAGCCCCCCACCCACACACCAACCAACCCGCTCCAACCAACCTGCTTCCCGTTCCTCTGCGCCACCCCCCCACCCATGTGTTTGATTCCTCGGCCGTGACAAAGAGCTTCACCCTTTATCCCTGTGTGTGTGTTGGGTTGGTGAGATGGGGTGGGGTGGGGGGGCCCCTTAGATTAAGGGAAAGCTTCCTGCTCTTTATTTGGGGAGTCCCCCCGGGAGACGCTTTGGGAATGACTTTCGTTGAGTCACTAACGCCTACTCACATTCACACACACTCAGATGCACTTATGCACACGCACACACACACACACACACACACACACACACACACGTACACACCTTTCACCCCTGCCTTTTTTCAAGCTGCCCATTGACTGGATGCTGGTTGTTGTGTAACACCGGCTAAGCGTGCACACACACACACACGCACGCACGCACACACGTCACACAGAGGCCCCCCAGCCTGCTCACAGTAGATGAGCGCTGCGAGGGCCCCCATTCTCTTCTCCATATAAAACTAACCAAAACTAACTACACTAGAGTATATCTTACTCTAGCATGACACAGTAAGACAAAACACATGCATATGCACAGCATTCTGCCAGAACAGAGAACACTGTGGTACACCGATTTTTAGCTGACACTACCCTATAAATTTAAAATCATGAATGAGGTGTGAGTACCGACGTAAAGCACTGCTTTTCTGGGTTTTATGTCAGTGTAACTTAAATATGTTTGTCATTTGGTTGGATAGTGGTTTCTATTGAACTGGTAGGATTTTTTCTTGTTATTTTGCAACATTTATTGACAAGACAATTCACAAATAAAGTAATTAATGGATTAATCAATATTGCAAATAATCTTTAGTTGCTGCCCTAAATTGAAACACACCAACTAGATGCTTTTATTTTGTAATTATGGCATCTTTTGCCTGCTAAAATATTTTAAAAGTGTTTTTTTGTGTTGATTTCTTGAAAAATTGAGTTGATGTGTGTGGTTTCAGGTGAGCCACTACAAAGTTTTAGTCACGATACATTGTCTTGCATCTAAATTTGTTTTTAGAAATGATTTTAGTCACAAGGGGATTGTTTTTAGAGGAAAATGTATTTAGCTCTAAAAGAAAAAGAAATAAACCCACCTTAAAATCATAGTCACAAGTTCAACATTTATTCACTAACAAATAAATGTTTATTGGACCTTAAGAATGAGTGCCACATGATCACATCATCAATTCAAGCCCTTGGTGGACTGGTTTCCACTTGTGCGATCAGAGTTTAGATGCTGATGTTGTAGTCTAAACTGTTTTCCTTTCAGACATGGTAGAAGAGCTCCTTGTAAAAAACAGTATCTTCATCATTGGCTTGTACATGGTGCACTCTCTATGTGTTAGAAACTGTGAAAGACTACAGGATTTACAGGATATATGCAGGTTTTGAGCTTTCCAAATTAATCAACGAAGAATGATGCGGTGACAACGCGGATTCGCTTGCGTGTGTGTGTTTTTGGAGGTGAAGGTTGAGGCAGAAAGAAGCCCCATCCAAACAGCAGCCATTTTAATTTGTTTGACAGGGAGGAGAGGTGATAACCTCCCTCTGCAGTCGCTCACCCGGGGAGGAGAAGGGGGGGAAGAGAGGTAGAAAACAAGAAGAGAGAGCAAAAGCAAAGGAAGAAGGGCTGAGTCGAATAACGATAAGGGGGCTGGATAGAGAGAGTCAGAGAGAGAAAGAAAGAGAGAGAGGGGTGAAAAGGAGAGTGTAATATTTGATTATGGCTCAAGGCTGTATGTTTGTCCAAAGGCTAAAGACTGTCAACCAGCTAATCGCAGGGGTCGATGCGTGGGTGTGTCTGTATGCGTTTGTGAAAGCATGTGAGCCTGTGTGGGTCATTGCTATCAGCACATAATTTATGCTGAGTACACGTGTCTGTGTGCTTCTGTGTGTGTATTTGTGTGTACGTTACGATTTCTGGATGTCAGTTACAGTTCTGTGGGCCTGAGGAGAATACAGCGGCCTCCCTCAGGGTGCTGTTAGTGCCACTCTCATACAGATGTGCTGGGCTGCCACTGTGTCAGTTTCAGTGTGTGTATGTGTGCGTCCTTCTCGTACAGAAAACTAAACTTATTCCTCTGGGTTTAGAGTTCTTAATAGGGCTGGATATTGTCTAGAATTTATCACTTCTGGTTCTTATCGAATGATGGGTCCAGTTGTGTCACATTGTTTGAGTAAGAAAAGATGAAAGTTTAGTTTCCACAGATGTAGGCTTCCATAGAAATATATGTGTCATTACTAAGCCACAGTTTTGAGTGCAGCCCTGGTTTCCATGTATTGTGACCAGTGTTATAGAACTAAAGTCCAAACTTTGCTTTCAGGAATTAATTAGCGTATCTCATAACTTGTGCGTTAGGTTAAATTTGAACAAGTAACACACATTTTCTGTTGTTTTAAAATCTTCTTTGATTAACTCTTTTTCCTTGATTATTTATTGTAATAAACTGGCAGTCGATAGAATGTATGGCAGATCTTTTGTGATGGATTACATTAGATTTTACAGGGGTACCCTAATAAAGTGGTCAAGAAGTGTATATTTGATTACAACTTGAAAATAAAAGTCTAAACATAAGCAAAAATTGTAAATTTGTCTTTTCAGTATTTTAAAATGCATTTTTTTCTGTTTTGTCAGATGCTGAAGAAGAAGGAGGAAGTTGGTTGGTTTCAGACAAAGACATTGAGGTGGGTGGTAATGGCTTTATAGTCTGTACTTGATACTCTGACATTTAGCAGCTTCTGTTTTCTGAGGTCATTGAAAAACATCCTCTCTCCCTGTGCTATAAATGGCAGTGTTTTTAAAAATGTCATTAAAAAAATGGGAAAGCAGAAGAGCCTTAGGTTTTTGAGTCATACAAATGTTTGGTTAATTAGACCTAGTTCTATATAATTATATTAACCTATAATATAACAAGTAATGTGTGATGCAAGTTAGCCCATTGACCCTTACTGCCACAAATTGATGTCGATGATGCCCTACCTGTGTGTGTTTCAGGCTCAGATCTATAACAAAGACAAGGGCGCCAGGGTAGCAGTACAGCGGGTGGCAAGCAGATACTATACTGGCAAAAACGTCCACTGTAGGAACTGCAACAAGATGGGACATCTCTCCAAGAACTGCCCCGAGCCAAAAGTCAGTCCCCATCAGAACACAGTAACATGTACAGCTTATACTCACTGTGTGCAAGTATGTGATACAACTGACCATGTTATGTGGGTTGTGTGTGCAGAAGGTGCTACCGTGCTTCCTGTGTGGCACCCCAGGCCATGTGGTCAGCGAATGTCCCAGAAAACACTGCAACAACTGCGGCCTGCCTGGGCACCTCTACGGGTCCTGCAGTGAGAGGGCGTACTGGCACAAACAGTGTCATCGGTGCAGCATGACGGGGCACTTCTTTGACGTGAGTATGCCAACTAGAAAGCCAAACTTGCCTTGATAAGAAGTGCGCTAGATGGGCCAAGAAATGTGTGGATATCCAAACTTGATACTCATGTTGAACTATTTGATGTCATATTCCAAAACCATGGTAACTGTAAATTATAGTAACATCAACAACTCCTCTGTGAAGGGTTACCACCTTGGTTTGCAAACAGTCTTACACTCTACACACACTACACCATCAGTGATCTCTGCCTCTGCAATAGGACCCGACTTCATTGATGCAACAGTTGATCCCAAACATGTTGGATATAGTGGCAACTGCAAGGTTAGCAGTCGCCACCATATTTGTCACCAATTAATTGGAGGGTAGCTTTGGGTTCGTCTGATCAGTCAAATGTTTCCATGCTCAGTGTGAACATGTGGTGTGTGTATATACTTTTTTTTTCCATTCATAGTATTTCAGGCAGTCTTTTGCAGTGTGGTTATTGCAAAGATAATGAAATAAAGTTCATTGGAAATCACTGAAAGGAATCCAAAATTACATAATAGGAGACAACACACCATGCTTGTGCTTCAACATGCATGGGTAATGTGAAATTTCTGAAGCATTTTTGTGATACTCAATGCAAAATTTCACTTAGAAATACAAGCTATCACACCACCTTAATAGAAACTACACGAAAAGCAAATAGACAGTTAAAATAAGGAGAATTACTATATACAGCAAAGACGCAGGATTAAGATATTTCAGAAGAAGCTTCAAATAAGAAAAGATACACTTTATTGATTCATCACCAGGGAAAGTCACATGTTTGATACAAATGAGGCATGAAAGAAGCACGACAAGAAATACAAAAGTACAATAAGGCTAAAAATAAAGACAACAATAAATACTATGTACTATTCCTACATGTACAAATTCATGTTACTCTATGAGTAAGTGCATCAGAATGGTCACAGACGCGTGTAGAAGCTGTGGTTTATTATCAAGAACAATTACTACTTAATGTAAACATAACAACACTCGAACCACCTCTACCACAGATACTGTATGCCCCGCGCTTTTACATTCTTACCACTACCCTGTTTCCTTGCCCATTTTCACTCTCTCCTAATTTCTCCCCCTTTCCCTCTTTCTCACCCCTCTCTCCCCCACTTTCTCTCAGCGATAATGAGTGACCAGGGGTCAGCACACGCCGCTGTTCACATTAATTGATACACTTCAGCAATTACAGCTTAGTTATGTCTCTGCCATGCTGCATATTCCAGCTGTGAGCTCACGTGTGGGCATGTGTGTGCGCGTTGGCACTGAAGGGTGACTCTAATGACCATCAATGACAATTATCCCATCGCCGCGTTCATTACCTTGCCCATTTACACTAATGCCACAGAATGGAAAACCCTGTGTGTACGTAAGAAGCTGCCTACGTCTCCCCCTGCCTCACCCTCGACCCCTTCTTCTTTTCCCTCCGTCTCTCTCGTTCTCTCGGCCTCTCTCTCCATCAGTCAGTCATGTACTGTGCTCTGTGTAATGGATGAGTAACCAGGTGAACACCAGAGGGAGAGGGGAGACCAGGACACACATAACACAATTTTTCTTTCTCTTTTCTCTCTCTCTTTCTCACAATCAGTCACCCATTTTTTTTTCTCACCTCTTCGTCCAGATCCTTGGCCTGATCTCCTTCCTACCCTCTCTTTTGCATATTGTTTTCAGCAGCAAACAAAGGTGCAAAGTTGTGTGCTGTTGTAATTACCCTTTTCTTGGAAGTTTTTTTTTTTTTTCCCCTTTCTTACACTCACAAATTATACTGTATGTATTAGTGTGTGTATCTGAGAGAGAAAGAGAGTCAGGTCTCAGTCCCCTGGGCCTTTCTGTGTCTCTCATTAAAGACAGACGGTTGATGGAGCGCGAGTGTGTCGCTCGCCTCGCCTGTCGCCCTCGACAACAACACACTACCCTGGCGGTCTGGAGGGAGAGAGCAAACGGGAGGGAGCGGCTGTGGGTGGAGGGGCTTGTTGAAGAAAAGAAAAGAGCTCGATGAGAGTTGGAGGAAGATACAGCTGTCGAAATTCATGCTTGTTCTTCTCTGCATTCAAATCCAAACGGATTAGATTAAGCCAGAAAAAGTACCTTCCGTTCCACACAGGGTGTGTTTAAAGATTAGGCACTTTAGGCCAAATTAGCCACCCTTTAATGTGAGGGGGAATTCTTATGTTGTGCAAAATCTGTGCAGGAACTTATGTAGCATCTGTGAGAGCAACTAAAAATGTCTTTTTAACAGAACAGGCCCAAGTCGTCTTCTCCTTCTCACACTCTGTCTCTCTCACTCAGTAGGTATGTAAGTAGATAAATCTTGTTGCCTGCGGCGACTGCGGCATTTTCAATTTCCCAGTGGGAAGTGGCGGCGGTTGGGAAAAGGATGTCGGAACGCTTAAGGAACAGCATGGAGAAGCCCCGGAGATAATGCTTTAGCCACACCGGGACAAAACAACTGACTGCCTCACTTACTGACTGTTTGAGTGACTGACTGCAGAGAGGCATAAATGGGAAAAAAACAGTTAGTGAGAAATCAGGGTGATAAAGGTTTAGAAAAGAGACACAGGAAGACACTGAAAGGCTCAGGCAGGAAAACAAATTACATCACGGTTTGTTTTTTCAGTTTCCATTTGGCCCCCTATCTCCTCTCTGGTCTGTCTGTTCATCAACATCTCTCATGACTTCACCTCCCACCTCTCTCCCGGTATACCAAAAATCAGGTTTACTGATGCTGCCTAAATGTTTAATCCTCATTTTGTCTTGAATATCTGACTCAGAGTTAAAAGATGTGTACAGGCTTTAAGTTGTTGCTCTTGGTTACGGTTATCTATAAAGAGACTATGTATCTGTGTGGACCTGTCTATAAATGTGATCATCATATCAGTTTTTTTCCCTCTTCTCAGGCTTGTCCAGAGATTTGGAGGCAGTACCACATTACAGTAAGTGTCTTTACATAATACCACATCTGTCAAGCCTCATACCCTTCCCCTTTCTGCCTTTGAGTACTGTGTCACTTCTTTAATACTTCTGATCTCATGGCCGCATTTTGTTAGTCTTTTGGGAAAGGCGACATCCACACTAATGTTCATTTTGAAAACACCTCTGACTACATTTTTAGTTTAAAACCTCCAGGTTTGCATTTTAGTTTGGACAGGCAGGAGCTGAGACTTTTCTAAAAGATGAAGCAGACACCCATGTTCACTTCCTAGTTGGGCCTTCTAGTCACTATGTCTCCGTTCCGTAATTCATCATATCATCGCATAACAACAACTCCCAATCTTATGTTTTCAGCCGCCACCACCAACTCATACTTGTGTTACTTCCAGTCACAGTTCCACCATGGTGTTGGTTGAAGCAAAGAAATCTCTGAGGTTACTTTTTTCTACTACTAAGCAACCAACCCTCCGTTTCCAGTTTTCCCAGCATACAAGAAATGTCATGTGATTTGCTTTTTCATTCATTTCTGAAATGGTGCTAAAATGCTCTTCTGGACCAAAGAAAAACATACTAGTGTGTATGAAGCCAAACATTGCATCATGCATTCCAGAAAGTGGTGGAGTATAAAAATAGTGTCCTACAAAATTAAGAAGGAAATATAAGGTTTCCGTCCTTTGGAAGCAATGCCATACCTTAAATTGAACACAATCTATACACTGACCTCAACATGGTACATTTGGCAGGAGAACGGTGTAGCTCTACACCTGTTAGACCAGATGCACATGTTGTGTTCAAGTTTCTTCCACATGTCCTGCCTGCTCTCAGACCTGAGGCTTATAAATAAAAATCTTTGTGTTTTAGTATTTCGTTCTTGTTCTTCTCTCAGAAGGGGTGATCACTGACCACTATTGATCAGAACAGTTAATAGTGTGATGTGGGTGTTGGCCTGGAAATTAAACCGACAGCAATTCAGATAGGCTTTTAAACATTACACATTACATGTCAACAAAGTATGTTTTCTGTATAACCTATTGTCATAGCATGTCTTATTGTTTGTAAGCTGTTTCCTGATACTGTGCACAGGGAGTCTGGAAACCTCAGTTTGCAAATGTAGTTTGTAAAAGATTTAAGTTCCTGTACTAATAAACCACCCCATAATTATTTCCTAATTATTATTATTTTTTCAGATTAACAAACTACTTTAAGTATATTTTTATAACAATGTGTATTGGCATGAAAAACAGAAATAAAAAAATGACATTTCTTTTTGTGTTAGTAGACGGGTCAGCTCAGTCAAGTACATCATAAATGACAAATGATGAGCATGTCTTTTACATACATAATGCTATGTTAAAAATAATAATACTCAAAAGTTTATACTCAATCTGAATGCCAAATGTGATCCTAGTAGCTGTGATAGTTTTGTCCAGAGTCCCAATTAAAGCAGAGAAATATAAAAGGTGGTGGTGGTGGAGGAGGGGGTGACTAAGCCAGCAGCTTTCCGAACCAAGTCCCACTTACGGCCAGTGACACTTCGTAAGTCTTTTTCATGCAGAACGCGCCTGATTAGAATAGAAATATTTGGATTGTTACTGTCTAAAAAAAGTCTTAACCAATAGTACATCCAACAATATTAATGTTTTAACAAAACATATCGGGAAAATGGCTTGGGATGGGGATGTGTTAATTACTTTTTATTTTAATTTATAGACATTCAGGACTAAACAAAAAATAAACTGCTCGGTTGAGGAGTTGTGGAACTGAACTCTTAATTCAGGGTCTTGGGTGAAGACCCCCAGGTTATTCTTTTTTTTTTTTCAAAGTGTTTGAAATATTATCAGAACCAATCAAGCAGTGATGTGGATGGACAAGGCCTTTACACAAGCTCGATAATTTGTGGTTCAGCATTTGGAGGTTCTCAAAGGCCTCCCAAAAGAAACTACTTTTCAATGAACATCATGAAGGCAAAGGTGTCAAGTCAGTTTGGATTGGTATTGACCTTGCCCTGTAGCAGATGAATGAAGCATA